TGAATATCCATGACAAGAAAAAGAAAAAAGACTGGCGGCTGCTGCTGGTTTATGGCTCAGCCCGTGAGGAGTTCAAAGAAGAGTTTTTAGTCGAGTTGGCTGCTATATGTGGCAACATGAATATACCCTACATTGTGGGTGGGTGGGGGGATTTTAATATCCTTAGGCACGAAAATGAGAAGAATAAAAAGATGAATAGTAGTAGATCTACTAATCTTTTCAATTCCATCATCAATGCACTTGCTCTTAGAGAAATCCACACTAATGGGGGAAAACACACCTAGACAAACAACCAGGCTCACCCCACACTAGAGAAACTAGACCGTATCCTGATGTCCGAGGACTGGGAGGATCTTTTCCCAATGGTGTCTGTAAGAAAACTGGTTCGGGAGATCTCAGACCACAATCCTCTCTTACTTTCGTCTGGTGAGGAGGGGCGTGAGGCTCCTAAACCTCGTGAATTTCGGTTTAACCTTGCATAAATTAAAGATGAGATGTTTCTTCCCACGGTCAGTAGGATCTGGGCTAGGAAAGTTCATGCATCTGATCCCATTGACATTTTAAATATCAAATTGAAGAGATTCAAAAGTTACTTCAAAGGGTGGGGGTCTAATAAATTTGGCCACGACAAGAGGAGGAAAGAAGAGCTTAGGGTTGAACTTTCTATGCTAGAGGAACTGGAAGAGAATGGGCCCCTGTCTCCTGAAATGTACAGTATTAAGATAGATGTGAGCACAGAGCTGCACGAGCTGCTGATAAATGAAGAAATATTTTGGCTGCAGCAGTCTCATGCACGCTGGCTATTGAAAGGAGACCTCAACACTGATTACTATCATAAAATTGCTAATGGTCATAAGAGGAAAAATACAATCCACTCCCTTAGAGTGGGTGATGTGGAGATTGAATGCATAGATAATCTGATTGCTCATGTGACAGACTTTTACAAAAACTTATTTGGTCCTGAACCTAGTAATATGTTTCATCTTGACCCTAATACCTGGTCTGATGAGGATGCAAGAGAGAACGCTGGTTTATGCCGTGAGTTCACAGAAGAAGAGGTGAAGGAAGCGTTGTTTTCCATGGCCCCTAATAGAGCCCCCGGCCCTGGCAATATTCATGTTGAATTTTATCAGATTTGTTGGGAGATAGTTAAAAAAGATATTATGTCTTTATTTGAACACTTTCATAAAGGGACTCTCGACATCCAACGTCTTAACTACGGTGTGATAACACTGTTGCCTAAGAGTGCTGGGGCAGACAAAATAAAACAGTTTAGACATATCTGTCTCCTTAGGTGCCCATATAAAATGATCAGTAAAGTGCTAGACCGTAGAGTGGAGAAGTATGCCAATAAGTTGATTAGCTCGACCCAAAATGCTTTTGTTAAAGGGAGGAATATCATGTATGGTGTTCTCTCTCTGCATGAGATATTGAACTATACTCATGTGAAGAAAAGGGTGGGGGCAGTACTAAAACTCGACTTTGAAAAAGCCTACTACAGGGTGAATTGGGAGTTCCTGTTAGAATGTCATAAGCAGCGAGGCTTTAATGAAACCTAGTGTGGTTGGATTAAATTTTTTTTGCATAATGGGACGGTGAGTATCAAGCTTAATAAATGTGTGGGACCCTACTTCCAAAGTGCCAAAGGGGTCAGGCAAGGGGACCCGCATTCCCCCTTTTTTGTTCAATCTAGCCGTTGACTGCCTCGCGAAGATGATCATTAATGCCCAGAAGAACAATATGCTAGTGGGCTTAGCCTCTGATCTCATCCCGAACGGGGTTGCAGTCCTACAATACACCGATGATACCATCATCTGCCTAGAACATGATATAGACAAGGCCGTAAACTTGAAACTCTTGTTGTATATGTTTGAAATGATGTCAGGGCTCAAAGTTAACTTTCAAAAAAGTGAGATCCGTATAGTTGGGGGGGGGGGGACAAGAGTATTACAAAACAATATGTTGACCTGTTTAATTGCGGCGTTGGCAATTTCCCTATCAAATATCTTGGCATGCCAGTTAGTTATACTACCCTTAAGAATTTTGATTGGGGATTTATTATGGCTAAGTATCTCAAAAGGTTTGAGGCCTGGATTGGGAATGCAGCCTCCATGCATAGGAGGGAGGCTTACCTTGTTAGATTCTATTGTCACACAAATTTCCCTGTATCACATGTCCATGTGGCTTATGAACAGAACTTTTATTGAGAAGCTTGATAAACACAGAGGGAAAAAATTGTGGGGGTGTAATAAGAAAAAGAGATACCACCTTGTCAGGTGGAACAGAATCTGTAGATCCAAAGAAAATGGGGGTTTGGGGGTTAAAGACCTTAGGAAACAAAACATCAGCTTAATGGTTAAGTGGTGGTGGAAATTGGAAATCCAGAAAGGGTTATGGCAGAATATTGTACGAGCGTGGTACCTGAATAAATAAACAGTGGCCTCGGTTGAGCCCAGGTTCTCAGACTCCCCTTGCTGGAAAGCTCTTCCCAAAGTCAAAACGCTATATATGGCGGCTAGGAAGATCAATACCAAATCAGGGAACCTCACGAGGATCTGGAAAGATCCTATTGGTGAGCGGAGCCCGTTTCAAGAACAAATACCCCCTGTTGTTTGACGTTTGCAACAATCAAGACTGTATTGTGGATAAGTTTGGCCATATCGATGTACAAACATTCTTTCGTAGGAGACTTTCCTCGAAATGCTGGGTCAGTGGAAAGACATGAGAAATACCATTGCAAGTATCCCACTGACCCGAGAAGATGGTCAAGTGACCTGGGGGCTTACAAGCAATGGAAAATTTTCTACTAAATCCATGTATAAATGGTTGGAAAGACCCCTTAGTGGGTGTCATTATAGATGGATTTAGAGAGCTAAAATTCCCCTCAAAATCAAAATATTTATGTGGCAGCTGTCCCAGGATGCTGTCCTTACTAGATATGTCATGAAAGGGAGGAGATGGCCTGATAATACTAGTTGCTCTT